ATCGTAAATAATAGTCGAGTCCTTTCGACCATCAAAAAACACGCCTAATAACGACATTTCACCTAATACACTAGTACAAACGTTACGTTGAGACATTCTGGCCCTCCTGATCTTCATGCTATCTACTATCTGTGTAGAACTGCTTTTAGACACTACTCCAATATCCTCTAAAAGAGCATTTGCGATTATAACGGCAGCGTGATCTGAAACTCCAGTTTTGTCACAGGCAAGTGCCACGGATGGTAGTTTATCATGCAGGTGGACAAGTTTCAAATATATTGAGGAACCGGAAAACAATAATTTAAGTGATTTAGTTTGGACAACATTATTGGGTTATATTTTATAGTCATATTAAGCAGTGTGTTAAAGGTAAAAAGATAAATAATTATCAAATATGTTGACGGGTAAAAAACAAATATTTTTCGAAATATCTCAGCTTTTAAGGCCCGTGAGGAACCTGAAGATAAAAAGGCAGGGCGCTCAGCTTTTGAAAAAAAAATTACTTATCTAAAGGCCCATTTTGAGGCTTTGTGTGAAAATATTTTGGAAAAAAAGTTTTTTCGTTCCACTCTAAATATACATGCCTCTTAATGTGAAAAGATTTTTTGAAAAGAGAATCATTTTATGCAGTAAACAAGGAGGAAACATTTTGAGCATTTGATTTCAACTAGCTAATTTTTGCCATAAACTTATTCGTTTACATATCGAGTTCTAATTTTGTGTAATATTTAAAATATGTTTTAAATGTGTACTTTTTTCATTAACGTCGAATATTTTACTCTAAATATTTTAATTTTATTAAATTAACGTTTTAGAGTCCAATTTGGTTTTAAAGTGTTTAATGATCAATTTGTCAGCGGTGTTTTACTAATAAAACATTTGTCCAACCGACAAAAAATGTTAAACATTTTTTTTTTTTCGTTTACATTATTTAAAACTATTTTTTCTCAAAAAAATTACAACAAACTGTGCTATTAAAGTACCTGCTAACTCGAATTATTTTAATATACAGTATGTCCCGGATTGTCTTTACAAGAGGTAAAACTTTATTATTGACATTTTGAGAAAAATACATTCTTCATAAAAGTTTTTGCTTGTCTTAAAATGGTTAATCGGTTTATACTTTTCCGAATTTTCATACAAAAAAAACAGGAAAATATAGTTGATTTTTTTCCCTAAAAATCAAAATGCTATGGTAATATAATTTAGATTTAATTCTTTGATAGATGGTTATTATTAATTTCATATTTTTCGCTGTTGTTAAAGTATCACATTTTGCGATAACTATTATCACCCTTTCCGTAGAAATGAACTAAATAAATTTTGTAGTGCTTTAACATTTTAAAACAGCAAAAATATGACGTTAATTAAAATTCTATTAATACAATCTGTCCAAGAATGGGATCGAAATGATATTACTATAGAAACACCTATTGATTTTAGGACTTTATTCAACTATGTTTTCATGTATTTCAAAACTTTCTCTAAAACGGTATGGAAATTTGGAGAAGTATAAACAGGATTACCTATTTTAGAACAAGCAAAACTTTTATGAAGAATGCATTTTTCTCAAAATGTTATTAATAAAAAGATTTTCTCTTGTAAAGACAATCCGTGAACATACTGTAGATCTCACCACTAGACAACTTATTTACAGCTTATTACTTCATCTGTCTAAAAATAGTTATTTTCATACAAGCCGATAAAATACCATTTTATCGGAAAAGATTCCGAAAAGATTAATTCACGGGCGATGAAATCGCGAGTGAATTAATTTCGAGACGATAATGCAATTTTATTGTCGTGTATATAACAATATTTTTTTTTATAGCGAGTTACGTTTTAAAAATATTCAGAAATTATTATTTCAAGGAATTTATTACGAGTAGAAAAAATATTGTGCTGGGTTGGCGTTGGTTTCTATGTAATTTGACAAATAAATAAAGCTGTCTCTTTAGTTGTCAGTTTTGAGTCAATATTTTTTAATTCTCTTTCGTGTCGATTGCTGATTGAATTGGAGCCAGAAATGGCTCAAACGAAATAAATAAATTACCAACAGATATTCAGGCTGAGGCGACAAACGCCATATCCAAACTACTTCCATTTAAATCCCGAATAACTTATGAAAAGGAATAAAAAAAATTTCAAAAATGGAAGCAATTAAAAAACGTGCGAGAAGGAAGATCAAGTGAAAACATACTTTTAGCATATTTTTCCGAAAAATCAAAGAAAATGCAGCCGTCCAGTTTATGGTCGTACTATTCATTGCTAAAAAGTACAATACTGGTCAATGAAAACATTGATATTTCAAGGTTTAAGGATAAGCTATACCGTTTACATTTTCCGTAGTAGTATAGTAACATCTAAAGGTTGTAGATATAGCAAGCTCATAGCTTTCTTGAAGCAGTCATGTAGGGGTTGCTAAAACCTAAAGTTGCTAAAACCGAAAAAGTCAAAAATTTTAAACCCAGAAAATGTCGTGAAATTTATTTCCACTGCTTTTTTTTGCATTTAATTTACCCTTGCGGTTAAAGTACTATTTTGTCTACTATTTTGATAGATATAAGGCAATTTTAACAGTTGCTATGGAAAAAAGTAAATAAATATGTCACCTTAAATTACTTTATATCTCCAAGAATGTAAATACAGGTCATCCCAATTAAGTTTAATTTTAGTTTCAGCGCTGTTCAAGTTTAACATATTTCTGCATGTCTATTGTCGAATAGCCGGTGTTGTTCACCTTGCCCTTGCTTTATCTTTTTTCTTCGAGCGAAACAACCCACAAATACGCGCGTTGTAGGAGAAATCTCATTGCATAAATGAAAAAGGCGTTTTGTAATAGGAACAGTTGTTAATAACACTTTTTTCGTATTTCCGACATACATATACACCAGCATTTATATAATAAGTAAGTGTTATAAAATATGTTTTATGCTGTGCGTATTTTTTTATTTACTTCTAACGCTTCGATTGGTTTGGGTTGAAAAATTGGTTCTTGTACCATTAGCTCTTGGGTGAAAAAAATCACCAACGCTGATGATGCAGGCCAAATAGTTAATAGTAAAATACCCGCCAAAATTTACGATAGATTTGATAATATAATAAAGACAAAAAATGTCTATACCTCTGTGACGGATTCGTCTCTCCAAAAAAGTCCTATGGGTATTTTGCAACTGTAAGAAAATCTACAAAATAAAATAGTTATTTTCTGTAAACAATGCTGCGTTAATCCAACGGAGACTAATTGTCAGCAGTGGATTACTAATAAACAAATTTGCCTAACGGACAAAAAAAATGCTTAACATTTCGGAAAGTATATCTCTTTCCGTCGTCGGAAGCAAAAAAATACAAAAATAACTATTTAAGATTCTAGAACACTTTAGTAAAAGTATTCGAGAACGCTTTAGTTTTTTTAAAACGTCTACAAAAACCGTTGAAGTTCGGTTAATATGACATTATATCAAGTTTTTTAAATCATTTGTTTTTAAATTTTAACAGATGTTATGTTCTTTAAACTCAAAGAAGCGATTGCCATACAATAAGCAATACATTTATTTTTATTAGATTGTATTAAAAAAGTTTCTTTTATTTTTCTTTTAGAGGCTATCGTTTCTTTCATTATAATTTTTGCATTGTTAAAATCTATTCTGTGCCCTGTGTCCCATGAATGCTGACAAATCTTAGATGTATGAAAATCGCCATTTCTTAAATATCTTTGTGTTCTTTAATTGGAACATATAAGGGTCTAGATGTTTCACCAATATAAGATTTATCACATTCACATGGTATTTGTATTGCTCATGTGTCTGTAGATGTTAGTAATGTATGGCAAGCGCTTCTTTGATTTTAAAGAACATATCATAAATAAATATTACATACCTTAAAATTTCAAAATAAATTAAAGTAATCATACAGAAAGTTTGAAGATTTTTGCTTTTACCTTATTAAGTAATTGTTATCAGGTGGTAATTATTAATTTTGAAGTTTAATTTGATAAAATGTCATTTTAACAGAACGTCAACGGTTTTTGTAGACGTATCTGTTTAAAAAAAATATAGTGTTATTGAATAATTACAATTAGACATTTTAAATAGTTTTTTTTCTTTGTTCTTTGTATTTTTTTGCTTCCGACGATGGAAAGAGATCTACTTTCCGAAACTTTAAGCATTTTTTTTTATAATAATAAATATATAAAAATAATTATTATATTTTATATATTATATATATATTATTATAATTATATTTATTTTGTAGATTTTCTTACAGTGGAAAAATACCCATAGGACTTTTTGGAGAAATAATAAAGACAAAAAAACGGTCAAAAATATAATGGCTGAACGAGTTTGGCATTGCAAGCTCAATAAACATTTAAAGCGAATGGGAGTAACAGCCAAAGCTACATAAAATTTCTTTCTTAACTTCTTATCATTGCTAGAGATCTAATTGCTAAGAGATAATAAGACATTGGCAAAGTGTGGAAGAGTAAATCCTGGATTATTCGTAATTAACCAATAAAATCTCTGGATACTGTCGTTTCCTGGAGAGAGTATATTATTAGAAATAAGGGTGCTGAACTTTTCAAATTATTCTGCACAAAGTTGCCTTAGTATAAATTATATTTGATAGATGTTTTTTTCAGCGTTCTTTCAGGCAAATAATAAAAAATGAAGTTAAAGAAAAATTAAATAGTTATTGTAAAGTGTGTCTATAAATTTTGGACTGATTGTGCATTGTGCCGCTATTTTTATTTTTTTGCAATGGTTAAAGCCGGTGAAGTTACCAACAAATATCCAAGCCTTCATTATAAAAAATATTCTGTATATCAAGTTATTAAAAACTTTTTAATTAATTAAGTTTACTGTTAGTGGTCTATAAGGAATTAATCCTAGCAATGAATGTAAAAGAAACAAAGTTTTTTGTGATAAATTTTCCAAAATATCGCGTGAGTGGTGCTGCAGTTGAAAAAGTACCTCTTGTACTATTAGCTCTAATTCACTTACCTTTATCATTATTTTCTGCAATAGCAAAAGCCAATAAAGTACAAGATATAAGTCCAATCAGCGTCCAGGTCTTCATCTTAAATAATAGTCTTTTTTAAAAGTTCGTTTTTTATTAAATAAAACTTTGTAGCACTCTAGGGAATTAATCCCTTCAAAGAACAGTTAATAAGAACAAAGTTTTCTGTTAGAAATCTTCCAAAATATCGCGGGATTACTATAACGCCGAAGAAATATATCGAGTCGTACTACTAGCAAAGTCTACCACTCGGTACCGCCGCTATCGGACATCGGCAACAGACTCGCAGCGCCGCTGTACTTTCTACAACATATAAAGTCGCGGGTCATTTGCAGGCTCAAGAAGTACCTGGGTCGATCGTACGCGGTAGTTCAGTAAATCAGAGTGAGAGGGGAATCCTGAGTGGTGGCTTAAGGGGCGATGTCTCGTTATAATTTTATCGCGAATCATTATTCAGGGTTGTTAAGAGTGTGTTCAAGAGGAGAGAAAGAGCGATTCCCATAGAGAGGACAAAGAATATACAATAATTTACTTTTGAATTAAAATGGCCACTGGTAAACTTCTCTTGTTGCACCGACTATGTACAAAATATGAGAATGATCCCTGGGATCTCGAAAACCATAAATGATACGGATACTTTTGATAATTTTGCGATATTCACCGATTGCGATACCCAGATTTGCGATATTCTATAACCATAATATCATTTTAGAAATTAAAAGTAACCGAATACTTATAATAATACTGTAATAATTTTAATAAATATATATTATTTTTTTATAAAAATTGTTTTATTTCATCGAAGGACTTACTTGTAAAGCCATACAGAACTACTAATGCTCAGCAGTAATAAAGTGTGTTAAATAAAACACGTCTCTTAGCAGGGTATGTGGCTGTCAAGTGCTTTCTGAACAAACTCAACTTGAATCAAAAAAGTATTTGCTGTAGAAACTCCGATAAAAAACCTGAAACAGCAGAGTGCATAATGCGAGGCTCTAGGTCGCAAAAAACAGTATGTATTTGGGAAAGTAAGACTCGAACCAAAGGAAATATGCTCCTATCCTATCAAGGACCAGCACAAGCTGGTATAGAGCACAGGGAAAAGAGACCGGGTGCAGACATAAACACAATAGACTGTACAGGTTGCAGTGCTTCCGGCTTCTTCATATTGAGGGAATCCGATCTGTGCGTTTTGTAAATTTGGATGCTAAATAAAATGGTATATATGTATAAAAAATATTTACGTGATACGAGTATGTTCACATAAATCTCATTGATTCACAATAACCATGAGAATGGGCACGTAAAGGAGGTGATTTATTAACTCACCAGATTATCATTATTTTTTATAGGATTATCATAATTTTTTAATTAATTAAAATACAATTAAGATTTTAATTAATATGGAGATATTTGCAGTAGGAAATATAACAAGCAATTGCGTCCATCTATGCATGGGGATGCATGGTTAACGAAACGTGGGATCCAGATCAGGAAATCAAATGCAGGATCGAACAAGCAAGATCTACTTTTCTGAAACTTCGAAGATTTCTCACAGATAGGAACTTGAACTTCGGTCTTAGATACAGAATGGTGAAGTGCTATATCTGGTCCGTTTTGTTATATGGTGTGGAAGCATGGACACTGAAGGTAGCAACAATAAACCGAATTGAAGCCTTCGAAATGTGGACCCTAGGACGAATGCTAAGAGTGCCCTGGGTCGACCATGTGAGGAGTGAAAATATTTTCAGAAGAGCTGGTCTAGAAGAACGTGAACTCTTCGAAATCATCAAGAAGAGGAACATAGCCTATTTGGGACACATACCACGTGGACAACGCTATCACTTTCAGAGTCTGATTCTCCAGGGTAAAATAGAGGGGGGGGGGCAAAAGGGGAATAGGCCGAAGGAAGCTATCCTGGATGAGAAATATTCGTCAAAAAGATGAACGCCTACGCAGGAATCTGCACTGCACCTTAAGAAGAAGAAGCGTCCATCTAAAATAAAGTAAAACTTCTTGTTAATTCCGTCTGACCGCTTGTCCGTCTGAGAACGCCATTCGGGTACCTCTATCCGCAGGCCGAGTTTGGTTCCAGTCGATCCATAATTAAGAAAAATACTGATGATTTCGCATCAGAGGCATCATTTCGCATTAGAGGCATCATCGGGATCGGGGCGAACCGCAGAGGGCGCCATCCTGTAGCCCTTCCCCAATTATGCCGAAATCGACTCACATTTTTCCTCAATATGAAATCCTTAGTCCCACCTTAATGGAGATATAAACGAAACGTCGTATTTCCGTCTAAAATCCGGTCGTAAAAGAAATTTACCAAATGTCGTAAACATGTACTAGTGTCACATATTATTGAAGCTCATTAGCCTATCCATCCAACCCGATTGACTTATGCCACCCAGCTTGTCGAAATTTGTTGCAGAGGCCGTGGAAACCCAGCCATTTTTTAGCCACATTTGTTTATTCCTGGCGCTTTTATTTATTTTCTATATTTGTGTTATAATTACCTGTTGGTGTAATTAATAGTGAAAAATTAAAATTGTCACTATGGGAGTTCAAGATATTATGTAGCTCATTATAAAATAGAAATTCATTTATTTTATATTGCATGAGTACGTGTAAAAAAATAAAATTAAAATGGAACCGAAAAATTCAGATTAATTTGTTTAATATACATATATAACAGCGGCGTGCAAGCATGGAAGCAAGGGAAGCATGGAAGCAAGGGAAGCAGTGCTTCCCCTAAACAAATTACAAAACATTATTTTCTAATTTTAGAAAAGATTACATTTGTAATCTAATTTTTGAAATATGGGCCAGTACTACAGTAAAAATGCTAAAACATTACCTTAATTATCAAGCCCATAACGAATGCGGCCTAAATATATTTAACGGTTTAAATGATTTTAAATTCCGCGAACTCTGCAATTTTGATGGATTTAAAGGAAAAAACTTTTCCAGAAGATGCAATTTTTGGCGTTTCTTACGTCAAAACTAACTGTCACATTGACACGTCTCATACACGGTCAGGTTGGCCTTGGTTCAATCTATCGATTTACCAAATTTCATTTAAATCGGACAATTTTTTTGCCATTGATGATGGGGTTTCACAGTGCACGAAACATCGTCAAAATATGATGAGAAGATGGGGCTATTCAAACACCATCTACATTCCGAGTTTCTGCCCCCGTGAACACGTAGGGCTCGAGTTACGACGTTCCAAAGACCCATCTCAACTTTCTTATTGGCTTACCACTTTTTGTGTTACGCTGAGGGGCAAAAATAGTGTACAATAAATACCAATTTGGGGACCTTAGTGTACAATAAATACCAATTTGGGGACCAAAAATACCAAATAAGTACTATTATTCTTTTTAGTATCTAAAGAATTTAAGACATTTGGAGCTTTAGGGCCTATTCATGTCAAACTACGATAACTAGGTCAGATAAACATATAAATTCGAGTTCAAAAAAGTACGGTTCTAGAACGGTTTAAAACCATCGCACAGTCTAATTACGACAATCATTCACGTCAAAAGTTGCAAAAAATCATATTGTGCCAGAGTTTTGACCCGTTCTAGAACCGTACTTTTTGGGAACTCGAATGAAGCTACTCGCATGACACGTTTAAAAAGTCATTTTAACGGTTGCATTAACATCGATGCTTCAAAAATTTATAAAATAAAACTAGACATAAAAAGTAATTGTTTTTTTTTGTTATTTGCGCTATTTATTTCTTATAAGCTCAAAAATATAATTATATGCACAAGAAAAATAAGAAATTCTAACGAGATCCATATTATGTTTCTATGATACGAGTTCTTTAATTTCTTTACATTTTTTCGTATGACGCTATGTACCGTTTTTGCGTAAAAACCATTTTTATGCATTGAAAAATTGCAAGCTTGGCAATTAATATCGGGTAAAAATAACCTATTTTTCAAATAGGCCAGCAAACTAACCTCGAAGCACAAGTAATTATTCCCAAGTATGTATATTACGAGGTATAATTTATTGTTAAGTAGGTACTTACCTTGGACACTAAATACAACAACTTTAAAATACTTCATACAAAATAGGTCAGCACCAAAAAGTTTTGATCGTGTAAAAAGCGCGAAGGCGGCTCATTTTCAATGCAGATGCGCTAGAAATGATGCAATCAGCTTCCCGGCCGTCGCCACATGCGTCTAATCCACATCCACCGATGCCAGATGTCCAACAAAATACCTGTTTAATACCAATTTAATACCAAATAAAATCAGTTTATTACCAAATCATACCAGTTTATTACTAAATATTACCAAATTAGTACCGAAAATACCAAATTAGTACCAAAAATATCAAATTAGTATCAAAAGTACCAAAAATACCAGTATTACCAAGTGCTTGTACAATAAATACCATCAGCAGTTTGCCCCTCGTGCTACGCGTGTCGTGTCGTGACGCTAGTTGGTGTGTCGCGTCCTTGAATTTTGATTTCCAGCGCGCGGAAAGAAGTTTCACTTCAAAAATATACATACGATTTGGATTAATCAATATATAAGAGCAAACTGGACTTTAAAAAATAGTTGTTAAATTGAAAAAGAATGAGTGTTAATTAGAGAAATATTATTACCTAATATAACGTATCGACTGACATAATTTTCAAAAGTCGTAAGTGATTGGTGAAAATAATCAAGCTTCTTTAAATCTTGTTCCACACATAAACGCATTTAATGACAAGAAACAACTTTGATGAATCTCGACAAGAATTTAACTTGTCAATACCAATTTAAATAACAAAGCGCTAAAGAATCTCCGCTTATGTAACTGCTACCCGGAATTTGGAGCTATCAAAATTGTTTACCATATTAAAAAATAGGTTATACGCTTTCTTTATTTTGTACACGAAGAAAACATGTTGTGTTAATAAATATTTTATTTTCCAATCTAAATGTAATCAGTAAATTTAATGGAGTATCAGTATTAAGCCACAGCTAGAGCATGTAAATGAACAGAGAAACTACTTATCGTTATACGCTTCAGACGTCAAGTAGGTATCCACCAAAAGAATAAATGATTTTTCTGAGGAATTACGAAGAAATAAAAATTCAAAATGAATTATGAAATAATTGTTTAAAAATTTAATTGATTTAACCGATATTTGATGGAAATGTGTAATTATGTTTATAAGAAATGAGAAAATAAATTTGGTGTATATTTTTTCTTTCCCCTATATCCTATATAATCTAATCTAGTATACAGCATGTCCCCGAGCGATGAAATCGTGAGTGAATTAATTTCGGGAGACGATAATGCAATTTTATCGTCGTGTAT